AGGAACACTTCTCAATTACGATCGATGGCTGTTTCAAAGTTTTAGCTATTTCTTTGAAAGTTCTCAGATAAGGAATTAGAAATAAAAGCTTTGGACAACGCTATATATAAGATAACGATTTAAAAAAGGAAAAGCCTTAATCTTTTCTTGTTTTGTATGAGTTTTTTTAAGTTTAAAGCAATAACGGCTGAATTAAGGCAGAATTAATTAATGTGATTTTTTTTTTCAAAAGACATTCATTGCAGTTATACTCAAACAAGTTGTCAACTTTCACGAATCTTAAGTAACTGTTGTTTAAAATGTCAAAAAACGATAATTTCAAACAACATTTTCTGTTTTTTCCTAAACTTCTGTTCCTTAGTGGGAGTTAAGAGTTACAAAGAAGCAAAAAAAAGCTCGTTCTTAACGTTGCACTTCTTCTACGCATCAAAAAATTCAAAATTTTAAGCTTTTAACTTTCAAAAGAAGTGCAGTTGTCAACCGAAACATAACGTCAGGTGGCGTCAAAAAATTCAAAATTATTGGGATAATCTGCTAACATAAGTTGTAGCAAAAAAAATTGCTGTTTAAATGGTAACCTTCCTCTTATTCACCAAAGTTTCAACTTTTGTTGGTAATTAGAGCCATTATCATCAAAAAAAGTAACAAAACGCTTATTGAACTAATCGTCAGAAGTTTTTCAATTGCTTATTTGCGTAGTACCTTTAATTACCAGTTTGAGGGGAAAAAACAGTGAGAATCCTTCTAGCTACTATCTTTAGGAAAGTATAATACAAACCACGTTTTTTTTTTTTTTTTAAATGAAATTTCATTGTACTTTGAAGTGTAGAAGAAAAAGTGCTTTCCTCAAGATAAGATCTACTTTTTCAGTCGGTTCAGTCAAACCACGGAAATGAAGGCAGTTAGGATGACAGATAATCTAAAGAGAGAGGATGTAAGATAGATCAAAAAAATCAGTATTTTGCAAATTGAAGTTGATTTCACTTGAAAACAGAGGTCACTCTATCACTCTTCCTCGTAAGTATATTTTCTTTGCTTATCTCTGCACTCATTGATCCATCATCCCCCAATGCTCAACTCTCAAAAAAGGGTGAAAGAAGAAGAAAATAGAAGCAAAAATAAAGAAAAAAAAAGCGAAACAAATAGATAAGTGAACCTATTGTTTAAATTAGTAGGTGAAGTACCCCACAAATGAAGAGAGCTGTTATCACCATTCCTCTTCTTTTACAGACATTTTACTAAAAAGAGGTCAAGTTCATAATTTTATAAATAAAAAAAAAACTAACGAAAGCGATATACTAAAGAATAAGATATTTACAAGAGGTAGTTCTCTTTTTGTGATAGTATTAATTAAAAAAGAAACATTTTAAAAAATTAGCTTCTTTTTGGTTACTCTTGTAGATTTTAAGCTATTAACAAGTATAAGTTTATTTTAGATCAACTGACTTGATTTATATACCAATCGATGTACGACTGTACTTTCGTTCAGTCTTACACTATTTGTAAATTTCCTACTTCTTTTCAAATGCCTTTATTGAGTTGCGAAAAATGAAGGAATATAGTCTTGACTTAACTTTTCATGAAATTATGAATAATTTTCTTTGATACTTCTTCTTCTCCCGCAACATATACAGTTACAGAGGTCAGAATAAACACTTGTAAGTTCTGCTTCTACCTGCATAAGTGTAAGTCATAATTAAAGTTTAAAAGAGCATTAAGATGGTTTGTCGTAATCACTTTCTGATTATTTTGAGATAAATTCCAAGAACAGCTATAAAAGCCTCTTATTCTTTTTATAGACCTACTACTCTTCCTGCAATGAATAGAAGTGCAGAGATTCTAAAAAAAAAAA